AGAATAAGTGAAAGCATTATTTATTTATTAAAAAGGCAACTGATACATAGTACCACTATAGACTGGTAGCTAGATTTAGCATGGGAATGGTTAGATGACCAAACAATTTCTACAGAAACACCAAATTGTTTTTACAAGAAGAAAGTCAGCAACAAAGTTTTGGTGTGTATGCTGAAGAACTACTTCCCTGGTCTTGAAAAAAGTAAAAGTTTACAAGTACTGTAGCTGCTAACTTGTACAAAACACATGTATCAGGCCATGAAGTCCAGCGCTGTCTTCTGAGAACCTAAAGTTTTCATAGCTTGGGAGTCTGTGTGGGAGTCTGTTTGAATTTGGGAGTCTGTTGTGATTTTTTGCTCAGCTGCAGCTGGCCCCTAATGTGCACATGCAAAATCTGGACTGTAGGGGGACTGGTCCTAAAGCCTTCTGGGATGTGTGACATGCATCTCATGAGGCTGCAAGTGGAGGGGGTTTGGAGATGCAGCAGACCAAGGTGGGCTTCATCCTTACCTAGATAAATAAATGGAAGCAGCAGGAACCTGCTGGAAAAGGTACTTACTAGGTTCACAAAGATGTGGTGCGATTTTCCTGCTTGTTTCAGTGAAATTTCAAGGAGTATTTGTTCAGCGATTCAGGTGCAATTCTGATACGATTTGGCAGTGTTCTCAGTCAATCTCTCTCTCTCGGTCTCTCTCCTGACATGGACCAGGGGTGGGAGATAAGGAACAAAGCAAAGACTTGCAGGAAACGTAGCAGAATCTTAGGACAGATAACCGATTTCCATTCAAGTCTATGTAGCTTCAAATCCAATGCAGTGCACTAAACTCACACAAGACCCTTTTTAAAAAAAAAAAAAAAAAAAAAAAAAAAAAAAAAAAAAAAAAAAAAAATCGCATCAGAACTGCACTGCATATATGTGAACGACCTCCGTAGAAACCCATGTTATTTCACTTGACATTCTGGAACGCATCAGAAATCACATCAGTGTGAACCAGGCTTAAAAATGAATATCGGGGGGGGGGGGGGGGGGGGGGGAGAGAGAGGGTTTTTTTTGCATCTTACATTGTCTAAGAGCTGAGTGAAAATCCAAGTGAAGGTCTACTTTAATAACGGTGGTAAGGACAGAGCACTGTCACCTATAACAGATATGGAAGCACAAGGACTAGCATTGCAGGATATATCAAAGCATAAGATTTCAAATATTAAAAACATTTCTTTTAACCTTCTATGAAATTTTATTTATTGAGTTTACATATGCTTTAAGGCTTCGTTTAGACTTGTTTTGCTGTCTGAAGCGCGATCCAAGTTTGGATCACACTTCAGATAGCAATAGGCAGGCAGTGAGGAGTCACTGTATCGCCCTCCCACTGCCCACAATTACCAGACAACCATGCCACAACTGTAGGGTGGTTGCAGCACTGCACTGTTTACTTGAAATGGGGGGTACAATTCTTGCCGCAGCATGTGTCAATTCCTGGCCGTTGCCTCAGCAGCAACAGGGGGATAGGTATAAAAAAAGGGGGGGGGGGGGGAAGGCTCAACCGCAGCATTTTACAGCCCCTCAAGCACAAGTGTAAACGAGGCTTTATAATGCAGATATTTTTCATATACATGTTAACACTACTGAATTGACGCATAATTCTACACAATGTTTTTGCGCCTCTCCAGTTCTCTTTATTCAGGTAATGGGAACACAAGTATAAGAAGCTGGATCGATTGCAATAACTCCAACTAACTACTGAGGTACAAAGTCCAAGACATGCAATGCAGCATTGGTTGACACAGATTTTAAAAACGGTGACAATTATTTTCCGTATTTCCATATCCACCAATTACTGTGGTTCTTGCTAGAGCACATTACACAGCAAAAAGTATTGTAGGGGTACATTTTGAGTATGGCAAAGTCCTGTGAATGTGTTTTCTTGCCAATTTTCTATACACTTCTGTTACCCCATGCAATTACTCAAATAAAAGAGTTATAAGGCATACTGGATGGACCATAACCAAGTTCTTACATAGTTTACACATTAGAATATCATTTGTTCCATGACTTAAAATATAACTATTATCACATGAAAGTGAAAGGAAATCCCACATTTGGGGTTCTCATCAGAGCAAGAAGAGAGGAAATCTTCCAATAAAGGACACTAAAAGGGATTTCCTTACACTTACAGTTTTGGCTATGGGACAGGAAGTGAACGAAAAATCTACCCAATTGGGGAAAATGGCAAAAAAAAAAAAAAAAAAAAAATCTGACGGGTTATAGTCCTCCCTTGCCCTATCCAAAACTGAAAAAAGTTTTTTCCTTAAAGTGTTACTAAACCCATAACAGAACAAGGAATTGCAATTATTATTATTTTTTTTTTTTTTTTTTTTTAAATAAAAAAAAACTGCTAAATACCTTTTCTCATCATCAGTACACAGTATAGCAGACTTATGACTTCTATCAGCGTCTGGCTTAGCACTGGTTAAAGCTTGTATGAGTTTTCATTCTCCTATGGTTTTTTGCACTGGGGCCCTGAAGGTTTTAGTTACACCACTTATAGGTAAATATAGTAGCATGTCTAAGCTACTAAACAAAGGAAAAATTGCTTCTGTAGCTTAGGTCTAAGCCTTCATACATTAGGGATCCTTTCACAGGCTGCTGATCTGAGTTTTTAATGCCCCAACTGCCCACCTACAAGAGGACATGGTGCTGCTTGTGAGCACACACTGCCACTGCCACAATGCTTTGCATGGCAATGCAGCAATTTTAACATTAGATGACGGAATTGACAGTCAGCACTCGTAGTTGCAGTGCGGTCCGGCAATGCAAAAAATTGCCAAACAATTGCTGAATAATACAAAAAATAATTAAGGACTCTCTTATAGAGGAATCTCTTCTTCAAGCATTGCTGGAATACTCCCCTATGCTGAGATACTGCAACTTGGCAGGTGGCTGGCAGTTAAGATTTTCTATGAAAAAGTACCCAGTGTATGACAACACATGTATAATAATATTCCTAAAACATGTCAGATAAGCGCTTTAAGTCTGCCAATAACAAATGAGGTTTAAAGTTTTTAATGGTGTTTCACTAATCATGTTCCTGCAATGCAGATACAAATGGGAATGTTTCTTGTCCATGCAACACTAACTCACCAGACAGCACATCATTTTTCAGAAGCCGAACGCTGCATGTACTGTAGGTTGCTTTGCTATGTTCTCCACTAAGGCCACATTCACATGGCCGATTAAGGCCATATACCTCCAATAATCAGATTATTTCTGCAGCGGGGATCACAGCTGTTTGCAATCAGCCACAACCAGGATACATGAAAAATCAATGACAGAATGACAAGCACAATGGCTGTCCATATGTAACCACACACTGCATCCAGGGTCACTAATCTTTCCTTAACCGCATGTAACCACTTTCTGTGCAGGTACTTGGAAACAGCTGCAGTGCTGGTCAGCCCACTGTTAAACTGTTCAGGTGTCTTAAACACAGTGCACTGCATACAATCCCGCAACAGAAATATGCTGATTGGCAGTGTGCAGCCTAAATCAGCCAAGTGAGTGAGGCCTTAAATGTAATCTGCTGGCACACCATCAAATATAATGTTAAAAGTGTAACAGGTACAAGTATACCTAAAATTATTGCCTACCTATAATCAAAACCTTTCAGGTATGGATAAAGTAAGGAAGAGTTAGATCCTTGCTCAAAATTTTTTATTATCATTTGTGCCCCCATTCAGAAGATTTCTCCTTATTTTCTGTCCAAGACACAGGTATCAAACCATATTTAAAACCTTAGAGATGGACTAACTTCCCCATTATAAGTATTAGCAGGGAGTCTGACATCAACTCTATTTATACCAGTGGTCAAAACTGAACCCCCCCAAACACGAGGTGCTTCAGTCAGTAAAAAAAATTAAAAGTCAAAGAGAGAAAAAAAAAAAAAAAAAAAAAAGAAAAGAAGAAGGGGAGGACACTTAACAGATCCAGCGCTGTCATCACCCAGGCCAGTTCACCGCACTTTGAGTCTTTGGTGCCACAACTTGCTTGTGGGAAGCCGACTGCGACTTCCTGCCATTTCAAAGCTGGCTCTGTGCTACATTTTCTAAACAGACCAGCAGTATCCTGTGACATGTCCCAAAATATTGTGAGGCAAGCAGAAGTGGGTACCTGCCAGAAATAGGTACATAGATAGATAGATATATATATATATATATATATATATATTTACATTGATGGCAGAGGAGGGAGGGAGAGAAGAGGAAAACGTGCAGAACTTCCTTATTAGGTGTAATGTTGGTTTAAGCAGCTTCTGGGACTGGTCACAGGTACAGGACTAAGCCTTGGGGAACAAAGTACAAGATAATCGAACATTCTTTTTACCGATACCATAGACAAAAAACAAGCATTTTAAAAAAGGAGAAGTTCACCTTTCATAACATGTTATTTCCATATTCAGGGTGTAATATGTAACACGCTACAATCAGACCGGACCCCGAACCCCCCCAATCCCCATCGTGACAGCTAGTGGGAGGATCTTCTCCTCACTAGCTGTCACAATTTGTTTTTAAAAACACAGCCGTATTGTGCTCCGCTTGCCCAGCTTCATCAGTCACCCACGGTATTCTGTGAATGGGAAAACTACAACATGTCTGTGCACAGTGTGGCATTTAGGGCTTGTTTACACTTGATTGAAAATGTGGCATTTGACACTCTTTAACCACTAGCCTACAGGGCACTTATACCCCCTTCCTGCCCAGGTCAATTTCCAGCTTTCAGCACTGTCACACTTTGAATGACAATTGCGCGGTCATGCAACACTGTACCCATATGAAATTTTTATCATTTTTTTGAGACAGAAAGAGCTTTCTTTTTGTGGTATTTAATCACCTCTGGGTTTTTTATTTTTTCTTAAACAATCCAAAAACCACTGAAAATTTTGAAAAAAAAAAAAAAAAAAGTTTTAGTTTTTGTTATACAATTTTGTAAATAAGTAATTTTTCTACTTCACTGATGTGCGCTAATGAGGCTGCACTGATGGACACTGATAGGTGGCACTGGTAGGTTGCACTGATGGGCATTGACAGGCATCACTGATGGGCACTGAAAGGCAGCACTGATACATGACACTGATAGGCGGCACTGATGGGTGACATTGAAAGGCAGCTCAGATGGGCACTGATATGTGGCATTGATGTGGCACTGGCACTCAGTGCCCTGATGATCAGTGTACATGTCCCCTCCGCGGAAAGCCGATTACCGGCTCTCCCCTCCTCTCGAGCTGTCAGCGTGACAGCTCGAGAGGAGAGAAATGCCGATAACCGGCATTTCCATGTTTACATGTGATCAGCTGTGATTGGACACAGCAGATCACATGACGGAGCCGACATCTTCAGCTCTTTCCGTGATCCACTGTGTCCAAGGGACACAGCGCACTGGTGCACGCCGCTCTGCACGCTCCCTGAGCCGTGCATGCGCAGTGAGAATGGTAGGACGTCATATCAGAACGAGAGAACCACCTTGCGCCCGTCATTGTACTATAGGGCGGGCGGAAGGTGGTTAAAGCATCTGAATGCCAATCAAAGCACCGCTCACTAATTAAAATGGTTACTTTACAGTCTGTCATGATTCACGCACACACCCACAGCGACTAGCTAACCGAGGCGCGCATGTGCGACCGTGACTTGGGGTAAGAGGGAATAAGGGGGACTTAACTTTGAATATATAAAACCATATATAAGACCGGACGTGATATACTTTCACAGCCCACACTACCTCTTGGCCACCACCGGAGGAAGACTCCACTCCAATCCAGATGGCTGACCACACACTGGCAGATACAAATCTTACATACAATCTGATGCACTAACTAGGGTTGAGGAGCAGCCAAGCAATCACACACACCCTTCTAGGATCCTTCCAGCTATCCTACAAGCCAGAACCCCGGTGTTATTCACTCTTCCACTGTCCATACACCCCCACACCAGACACACCACAAACGGTGGCTTGCCACGACCCAACAGTTTATCTGAAGAACGGTCTGTTGGGACACCACAAACACAGATCTCCATCTGGCAGACCTGTCACCCTTACAATCTGCCAACACACAGTGCAATTGCATACAGATTGGCAATGAGCTTGACCGAGCATATAAAGACACTAAAATATAATATAATCTAATCTCTCCGGAGATATGAGCCCGTGCTTAAAATACCCAGGAGTCACATTCATTTAAAGATTTAAATAACCCGAAAGCGGGCAGTGCATAAAATATGTACAAAATATAAAAAAGTTACAGAAATACAAAAAAAAAAAAAAAAAAAATCACACCACACAAGACACACATTGACTATTCACTATAAAAGAGAAAAAAACCAAATAAAACTTTTACCAAGATTTATCCTGCGACTGGAGCAAGTCAGGGAGAGTCAGCAATCCGTCAGTCAATCGAACTAGTGCCATACGAATCACAATGTCCAAATGTCAGGGTCCTCAATTTATGGGGATATGGATGTAGGCTGCACATTAGTCCTTGGCCAATCGACTCGAGGGGGGGGGGGGGGTACCCGCCCACAGGCTGTTCTGGGTGCTGAACTGCCCAAAGACAACTGGACCAAACTCTAGCCTGGAGAGAGTGTGTAGGATCCTGAGGTGATCCGCAAAGGCTTTTTGGCCCCTGTGTCACAGGGGGAAGGTGAGCAGGCATGCTAGCCATATAGGATTTTAACCTGTCACCTGCACTGGCAAGAAGAGCAGGTTTTTTAATTGTGTGTTAAAACACTGAATTTTGTGGACATTAATATCACTTCAGCTTTATGGTTTTAAACCCTGAATGTTATGGACATTTTTTGCACTTGTATGCATAGTTATCACCTAGATCGTGTCGTATATCCCTCTATAGGGAATCACTGAGTGGCATGATTGTATCACCAATTATTTATGCTTGACCTATATTGCACTAGGTATCTATATATGTCGTTTACTTGATTTGCAGTAATGTTATTTCTGTATAAATCGGTTATAGCGCCACACCATTAACACAATAAGTCTAACTATCTGTCCATTGTAAAGAGAGGATTGGGTGTTGGCAGCAATTATATTTGTTAGAGTGGATAAAGCAGCGCAGGAGGATTTACATTCATTTAATTGGACCAAGACCGGCTTGAATCACCAAGTCGGGGATTGAATTTCCGACACCAGCGCATCAGTCCAATCGCGACAGTACCAATCACTGTTCCGCTATCGCACTCCAGCGCCACATAACCATTTCCTGCATTTTTCTGGCATTCTACATAGGCCACAAATATAGTTTTTATATGCTGATGTAGCCTACAGAGTGCCCCATCAGAAGGAAGTATTTTCATCTCTCTGCAACTAAAATTTTAGCTTGTATGAGGGATGAAACCTACTCCTTTGATGTATGTATATACTTTAGAGCTCCCTAGACATATTGGAGCCCCCCTAGCGTCATGAAGCCGAAACGTCTGCGTTTCTCTTTTAAGCTTCAGGAAGATGGCAAAGTCTCATTACATATAGGTGACAAAATCTTATTAGCACCCAGGTGCCACTTCCAGCCTGAGGAAGCTCTGTCTCTTTTCAGATGCTAATGGATGACCATATGCCTCTGCCTATGACTGAATATTTCTTTAATGATAAGGACTGAACTAAATTTACGATTACATATTGCTACACATTTCAGCTACTCAAATCTGTACATTTATATCACACAGTCCTGTTCACACTGTTGTGTTTGCTTTACTGGGGAATCTCCTGAACAAGGGAGCCAATAAGCTGGGGATCTGCTGCACAGGGGGTACTAATAAGCTGGGGATCTGCTGCACAGGGGGTACTAATAAGCTGGGGATCTGCTGCACAGGGGGTACTAATAAGCTGGGGATCTGCTGCACAGGGGGTACTAATAAGCTGGGGATCTGCTGCACAGGGGGTACTAATAATGGGGATCTGCTGCACAGGGGGTACTAATAAGCTGGGGATCTGCTGCACAGGGGGTACTAATAAGCTGGGGATCTGCTGCACAGGGGGTACTAATAAGCTGGGGATCTGCTGCACAGGGGGTACTAATAAGCTGGGGATCTGCTGCACAGGGGGTACTAATAAGCTGGGGATCTGCTGCACAGGGGGTACTAATAAGCTGGGGGGACAGTACTAAAGCTGGGGGGATCAGCTGAGTTGGGGTAATAATGAGCTGGGGATGTGCTGAGTGGGGGTACTACTGAGTCGGGGTTCTACTGGGCCCCTTTAAAACAAAATAGCAAAAAAAACACACACACCATATGCCAAGCTTCAAAAAAAAAAAAAAAAAAGCATCACAGAAGAATCATTAAAGCATCCAAAAAGCATGTTGAAGCAGGAGGCACTTAAATGAGTGTTAAAGTCAAAGCAAGTATAAATAAGCCCTTAGGGGCATTGAGGGGGGAAAAAAAAAAAAAAAAAGCCTGAATTCAGAGAAAAGCATACTGGCATAATTTACACATATGCATGCATAAACACATGCATGTACGCATAATTTCAGTCTAGTTGCTAGAACATCCCTATGATTTGGGGGGGGGGGTTGGGTACGTATAAATGATCCAACTAGCGACTAAAACACTTTAGTCACTAGAATGAAATTACATGCATACTCACGACGACGCACATGAACATGTGCAAGACCCCACATTTTTTATGCTGGCAGACAGATCCAGCGTGAATAGGATTATCATAATATGTCTGTGTGCATGCAGCCTAAGGATGTTCGCACAGTGAATAACAAAAAAAAAAAAAGTTAAAATGTCCCATTTATCTACATTTTGCTTTACATGTCACATCTACACAAGTGTAGTACAAAAACTTTATTTATGCTTTTATGGTTTGCACTGTATATGCGTTATGCTTTAGGGAGCATTCATGCGGGTAATAAAAATGCAAGGTATAGCATATGGTTTTGTACACTTCTGTATGCAGTACTTATTTACACATTTGTGCTGTTTACATAAGAACAACATATAACATTAACACACTACTGGCCGTTCACCACTGCTCAGGGCGGTCCGCCCATATCAACAATGTGTAACACTACTGATGTTGACATGTAGGCCCTATATGTGTCATTCATGCAGTGACGCCTCAAAAGAATGACCTCAACTGATTCTGAATGACTGAAGGCCGTGTTCAACTAGCTCACAGCTATTATTATAGTTGGCTGTACAGAGTAGCTGCGTCTCTCAGGCGCAGAAATATAGCTGCATGGCACCTTATATAAGGCACCATGCACATCTAAAACCCTGAAAAATAAATAATACACATTCTCTTTAATGCAAATTTCCTCTAGGAACTACAGTTACTTCCCATGTCCCAACCATATGCTCAAAGTGGTTATAAAGCCTAAACAATTTTTATCTTAATGCATTTTTCACCTTCACTACTCCTTTTATTTACCTGAACCCTCATTCTTTCAGTGCTGTGCACGTGTGCAACTCTTCTTCCACATCACATCCTGGTCTCATAGGCTTTGCTGAGGCAGCAGTAGCCATTGGCTTCTGCTGCTGTCAATCAAAGTCAGTGACGAGTGAGCAAAAGGGGGCAGGGCCAAGTCTGTGTATATAGACAATGAAAGCAAGGCTCAGGAGCAAGCCTGCACAAGTGCAGCCATAAAAAGCCACTCGCCAGAGGGAAGGAGCACCGCTGGGGGACCCAAGAAGAGGCAGTTCGGGCCATTCTGTGTAATTCCATTTAATATATACCTGTTTGTTCATACTTTACAATCACTTCTAGTTCAAGATGTCTCCTTCACTCTCATTACATTTATAGAAGTAAAGACAGACCTTAAAGTAGTATTAAACCAAAAAGCAAACATTATATAGCAGCTTATAAATTCTTAGCTGCGACGGCTGCATTCATTTTCTTTCCTTCTGGTTATCCAACCAGTAAGTCGGTTTTTCAAAAGAACACACACTCTCCAGCAGAATGTATCAATTACAGAAATGACAAACCATGTAAAACTAGCAAGTGTGCTTACAACGGTCCACTTTTATGTAAAACCTTTATCCCAAAAGGGAAAATAAAAAAATTGCTCGCTGCAACTTCTTATAAGTATTGGTGGAGTTTGGCTTCAATTTGTTAAAGTATTTAAATCTGCTAGTACATCCAACACTCCCCTTCCCCCAGGCGGACAACGCTGCTGTGGTGCCCCTGTGCTCCTTCATCAAGAGTGGGGGCACTCTAATACAAGAGATGGGTTACTGGCCACATCACCAGGTAAAAAGAAAAAGCCTAACTAATCTGGCCACCATATCTAATGACTGGTAAGCTGCAATATATTACATTTTTTTTTAGATTTATTACCACTTTAAACCAGACATCTGGGGGCTGGAAAATCTGGGAAGTGTCCTGCAATGTATGGCGCACCAGAAACTTTGCTTCACTTTTAAAATGGGGGGGTGATTAGACCTGCCTGTCAGCCCAGCGTTGCATGAGGCTTGGCTCACACTATTGCAGGCCCGCAT